GATCCTGTTAGCAGAATATGTAAGTGGGTCAACTGGACAAATTGCTCTCAGCTTTAACGGACAAACTTTAAGGACATAAAACGTAAAAAAGGAAGTCGAAATAATGGACGCACTTTCTATCTCTCTTAAAAATATTTTGCTAAACTAACGCAACATTTCGTGTTGTAAGTGCGTATTGAAATATCCTTTTTATTTTTATGCGAAATAGTCTGATCGCATTAGTTCTCCATGGCCTAGTTCGTTCATGAAACTCAGTTTTATGTAATAGCTTATAACCCTCTTATAAAATAAGCGGTGCTTCGATTTTTTGTTAGTACAGCACTTTATGACTCGTTTTCTTCTCTTACTCGAACCCTGCTCTACTTCCACCTCGCTATTTCTTATCATTTTCCCGGCCTTTCATTGCGTGCCTTACGTTTAAACTCTTTGTAAATTACTAGTTTGCTGTCCGTTAAAATAATTTTAATATTCATAAGTGTTTATACATACAAGACTTTCAAATTTTCAAATGTTCAAACTTAATTTAACTTCGACTAGAAGAGTTTCTCTCGTGTTTTGAATAATGGTGAATCAGTGTCACATTACGACTCGATTAATAACAAAAAGTGCGGACAAGTTTTATAATCGACTAAGTGAATTTCACGCGGTTGATAATGTATGTTCGATATGCCATTACTAGAAAATAACGGTGTACAACATTCTTCTTGTCCCGTAAGGAAAAATACAATTTGTCAACGTTAACAGATTCCTTTAATTTCCATAACTGTCAAGCAGCCCCGCAGATACCAATCGGGGATCAACCTCAAAGGAACTAAAGGTTGCCGACGAGATTCTCGTTGGGTGACATGGGCTCGCTCTAACTCAAAAATCACGTTTAACCTTATCTTAATCTAGACCCGTAACATCTCACATACACGCATCTTCAAAAACCACCAAACACATCTTCCAGGCACGTAAGAATTCCCTCTTTATACAAAATTTACAAGCTACCGCCATTGGTTGAGCTGCAAGCAGTTTGGGAATTTCTAACGGAGACCTGTGTTTCAAACTGTAAGATATTACTGACATCCGAACATAAATGTGTATATTTCATAGTTTATGCACTTGTATACTGGTTTGATGAGTTTTGTTCTCAGGAAATAGTGTATACAAGACATAAATATGTGCATTAATACTTTTAATAGCAATTATCAGAAATATTTATATTTTGTAAACCTGTTTGATCAAATAATTGATCAAGTAAAGTGCATTCGTTTATTGAATTAATACTTGGACCTTCAGATTTATAAGTACAAAACAAGGGAAAATTTAATAAGACAATTATAATTTGACCATTTATTGCACACGTGCAATGAACATACAATAAAAATTTCTTGCCAAAGAACGATTTAATTTAAAGCACCCTAATGTGAGTCGCCCCCTTACTGAGTTCTACAGGCAGGCACCGAAGCTAGTTAAGGCTGATCCGATAAAAAAAATTATTTTGCAGTTTATAAATGCGATTGATGTCCATACGTGTATACATAAAAATATACTACAGAGTAGTAAGTTAAGTAAAGAAATATTTGGCAGAATAATTTCCTGCAGTTGGAGGCAGTGCTCCAGTTAGGATAGAGTTGAATCGTTCACGTAATTCACACGGATCAAGAGAAAATTCGTGTTCCAGGAAGGCGCACGTGGGCGTAAACAAAAGTACGATCCTGCCTGGGGCACGGAATGTGCTGGACGCGGTGCTGGATCCTGTACACTGGCCAGGTCGTACAGCATTGAGTGTACGTACATACGGCGTGGCATGGCGTACGGTCGTCCACAGTTCGCCCCGCAGCCGCCGCATTCCAACGGCTGCCCAAACCAAAACCTATATCGCGTATACCCATCTCACTCGTCCTTCCTTCTTTCTCCCTCGTCTTCACTCTTTTTCCCTGCTATCCTACTCTTTACCCTCTCCTCCGACATCTTTCCGCCCCCACCACCGAGCCTTTTATTCGAACCCTTGCCGCGATCAGGGTAGCCACCTTATCGCAATATAAAACCCGAAGCATCGTACATTCCAACCCGGAGATTTGAATTCAAATCCGCAGATGAGATAACAAGTAACAAAGACAGGTTTATTCTAGAGACAGAATCGTCTGCAAAGGACGGAAACATTACAAATATTAATCTCTTAAATTAATCATTTATTTCGTATATAAAAAAGAACAGTATTTGTGCAGTGTCCTCTAAAGAATAAAGTGCACTGTTGAGGAAGTACCGATTTCCATTTTCTCATTTTTTTCTGTGAATCTCGATATTTATCTGGTAACACTAGAGCCAGGATGTTTATTTGAAAATCCAGACCAGGCAAAAATCGGAGAGGTGGCAACCCTGGCCGCAATCCTCTTCGCAGGAGAAACGCGGCTTTACATTGTGTCCCCCACCCCTTCTCTGCCTCTCTCTCTCTCACGGTGGTATCACAACGACACATGCCATGATCTTACAGCAAATTTTTCGATCGCTCGATTTCGTTGTTCGATCGTGGTTTTAGTAATCCTACAAAACGCGAACCGCGTCCCCGGCAGGATATCCCCAATGATGTTTCTCAGAAGCTAGCTATACGCTCGTGTCCCCATTTGTCATTATTGTTTTATCCGTTTTCCACTCTGTCCCATCGATCCAACGACACGGTCCATCGGATGCATTCCATCCACACGTATCACTCCGTACATTACCGATCGTTCTTTTTCATCGTTTCGCCTCGATGTTAATAGAATGCACGTAAACGCTTCCCGAAGGACCATAGATCAATATGATTTATGAGATCGTTACGAACCAGTGATCCATCGATGCGCTCCGTACGGGTAAACGAGCGCTGGATTTAATAAGTTGTACTCGAGACATTTGTACGATGCCGCTCAAACTTCGTAGCACTAAGTACCAAATTTATGGTCACTGAACAAATACGCGTGATTCGACGTTACACGTGATAGACATAATTCTACACGCGAGGCATATTTACTGGAAGTAAATCTGACTTCCACTGGGAAAAAATACGTTCAGACCGTGAACATATTACGAACAAAATGAACGTTCATATTTGAAAAGAAAATTTGGATTTGGAAAGGGAATTTTGGAAAATATAGAAATGTAGAAATCGTTAGCCAAAATAGCAAGCAAGTAGTATTTCGCTCTGCCTTCTACCTATAGTTCCCCTTACGCAAAGGAAACCTAGCCAAGCGTGTGCGTAAGCTGGTAACGCGGATCATTCCGTGTAACATGATCTGTCGTAAATAAAGGTGTTTGTCATTTATACCATTCTTTATCTTAGTTTTGATAGTACAAACAATCCATGGGATTCGTGTTGACCAGTAGATAGCAACATTCAATACGGACTCTGTATCAATGTCTCCGTATACGTCACTGAACCGGGCGAAAGTCGGAGAAGGAGGATCACGATCTATCAGACAAGAGTTCTCGCGAGTGTGCAATCTACACGGGTAACCGGTTAGCTGTAAATGCTTCCAGAGTCCCAAATTGTTCCTCTTCAAGGAACTACGCGATACCTCACGATTTTCGATCGAATTAGAAATGTTACTTATACTTCGAAATAAAAACAATCGAATGCCAGAAACATTCGGTGTCTCCGTTACAGGGGGACTTCGTGTGCGGTCGAGAAAAATTTAATTTTCGGGAAAACCGGTTTCCACGGTTATTAGTACAGGTGAAATACACCAGCTTTGTAAACTGAACAATTTTCCTCAAATAATACAAATCGTTCACATAAACACTGTCATATGACTTCGATTATTTTTTAACTTACTCGACATATTTTTGTATAAATAACAAAACGATTTCCTCGATCACGATCTTATAATAATATTCTTACTATAGATACAATAATACAGAATCGATCAATCAATCGGATAACTTACCAAAGTATTTTCAACGTGTTCGTAAAGATAAACATATGTACATGGTCAGCACACTCGGTGAACAATTGAAAAAAAAGATTTAACATAAACTTCACTTTGGTGGTTCAATGTTCACGTTACAGTAGCATTTTTTACTTCCATTATTTTTCAAAGCGATAAACAAATACGAAATACGTCACGAACATATACATGACTGCTACGAAATGTGCACCACGATGTTCCGTGAAACTGTAAACACATACGAACTTTTTAAACTGGACCACGCAGACAACGATGTTGGAGTAAATATATGTTATATGAAAATCAACGATATGTTGCAGTGGCGGGTACAAAGAGCAATTCACCTTGTTTCGTTTTAAATCTTCGAGAATAATATTTCTGATCTCATTATAAGACACGAAATATAATCTTATACACGCGTCGGACTGAATCGCCGCTTTTCGGCAGCTGTCAATTACTAGCAACACAGGCGCCGCGTTTGTGCAGCATCCCAGCAGAACCACTTTCGGTCCAGCCTACAAAAAACACATCTCTTGTACGAGGAATGAACGTGGAAGACGGTGTTGATGCCATCTTGTAGCATCTATACGAACCGTTACCGATGATATATCAATAGAGTTTATCATTGACGTATGCACATTACCATCAGCACCTACAAGTGGTTACATTGCAGGGCAAGCTAACTTTCAAATTTAGAACTTGAAGAATTTAGGAATTCAAAAAATTGGTATTCTAAAATTCGAAAATTTAGGATTTTAAGAATTTAATCGTTGGAAAATTGGGAATTCGGAAATTTAAAAATTTGGAAGTTTTGAAATGCTGAACTTTAGAAATTTAGAAATTACAATTTTAAATAGTGTATCTTATCAGTTTATCGAATCCGATATGTAAGTCTATAAAAAACAATTTATAGGATCTAATTTGGTAAAGATAAAAATGTGTACATTACAAATACTGATAACCATACATTTGTTTAAATATTTGATAAATGTTTTAAATCTTTCGCGCATCAAATGAATCGCGATGTAATAAAAATCGAGTGTTGTAGAACTCGTGCGGTTACACGTCCGTATCGAATTTTCATTTGAAACTAACAGTAAAGTATACAGATATGTAACGAATGGAGCAATATAAACGAAATATAGAAATGAGAAGCAAAAGTAGATTGCATGAGAAAATGTCTTCCTGAATATAGTAATTTGTGCACTAGTTAGTATATCGAAGACGCAAGGAAACGGAACGAACTTCACGTAAGTTCGAATGACGATACAAGTCAGCAAGTGATCTGAAGCGGATTGTATCGGTGAACAGGGGTGTGCGCCCCGGTTACTTGGATACAAGTGTGGTTATCATATTTGACAATAAACCTTAATTCATACTATATGAATTGGATATAATACGTTATCAGTATGGGTGAGTTGTGTGATAATTTTACAACGTACACGTTTCCGAAATCATTGAATCTATCGTGTGAATATAAATACTGATCGAGTCGATAGACAACTCGTTGCATTTTCTACTATTTCTCCATAAGTCTGAAAGTTTCGTCTTTCCAGGAGGATTATTGAGTTATTTTCGAAACCTGCTTGGCAGTCGGGAAATGCGAATTTTAATTCTGGGCTTGGATGGTGCCGGAAAGACTACGATTTTGTACAGGTTGGCTGCACAATGACAATTTCGCCGTTTCACTTGACAGTTTATGTTTTGACATCTGTATACAGTGGCGAGCATATAAATAGGAACAAGTACTTTTGGTGATTTGATTGAAATTAACTTCTGTCTGTAAATTACAGACATACTTTTATGTAACACGATGAATTGAACACCATGCATTTTATGAATATTCACTAGAATTTGAAGAATATTTTGTACTATAATATAATAATAAATTTAGATATACATAGTACATATTTCATGGACATAGATAAATAGAAACATCGCATAATATAAAATGTTATTTTATGCAGGATGGAAAGTATAGCATAAATTGGCTTTTGAACCAAAAATATCTTATGCTCATTGTTATAATAGCATTGCATCATTTCTCTTATGAAAACAAAATGTTCACATTTATGTGCTTCCTACTGCATATAAATATATATATTTAACATTATATCATAATTTATTTCTTATTTATGTTAGTTTAAATAATATATTTTATATTTAAGCATTATCATTTTCATACAGCGTTTATAACTAGACATAGTGATCATGTACCTATAATACATTGAAATCTGCACAGTATACATATACTCTGTGCAAAAAAAAGTAACATGTTATATCAGGATATACAAAATCTCTAGTCTATTCATAGCCAAAAATTAAATCTTACACAATAGCAATCTTAGATATTATATTCATTAGGTTGCAGGTGGGTGAAGTGGTTACAACAATACCTACAATAGGATTTAATGTAGAACAGGTTACATATAAAAATTTAAAATTTCAAGTATGGGATCTTGGAGGTCAAACTAGTATACGGTATGTTGTATGTTCTAAATACAAATATATGTAACCCTCTATAACTCAAATTTAAAGTACCATTAGAAATATTTATACTATTATAGTGTAGCTTGTTAACTGTACAGAACTGTAGAAGCAGAAAAATTTGCATGAGAACATAGAGGGTTAACTTAATTGTTAAAAATAATATAATACATTTACAAATTATTGGTGTGCTCTAAATTTATAGACCATATTGGAGGTGTTATTATTCAAACACAGATGCAATAATTTATGTTGTTGATTCAGCAGACAAGGATAGGATAGGCATATCAAAAGATGAATTAATTTATATGCTAAGAGTGAGTACTTCCTATAATTAATATAAAATAAAAAATTTTGTAATTTTAAAGTTAAACAATTATTAACATCACAGTTTACCATATTTTTAAAATACATAGCATGTTCCATGATTTCATAAATTTGAAAGTAATACTTATTGAAGTTATTGATATCATGTACATGAAAATATAATATGTTCTTAGGAAGAAGAATTACAAGGTGCCATTTTAGTAGTTTTGGCAAATAAACAAGATATGGCAGGGTGTTTAAGTGTCGCCGAGGTACATCAGGCACTTGGGTTAGATGCTCTTAAAAACAGGACGTTCCAAATTTTCAAAACATCTGCAACAAAAGGTGAAGGACTTGATCAAGCAATGGACTGGTTGTCAAATGCGTTGCAAAGTAGAAAATGATTAACATTATTGAAAAACTTTTTTTACCTAAGCCTTACTAAGAAGACTAGTCACATGACTGTCACTTTGAATGACCCATGCAAAGTTGGGCACAACATTCTGTTTATTTATTATAATTATATTTTAAATACCATTATGAATTCCATAAGAAATCTATACTATAATTTATCATACTTTACATAATGTGAAGCAAGAAATAAAATTAAATTAAAAATTTTATCTTTTTACGAACTTCAAATAAAATGGATATAGATAATTGTTTCACTAAAAATTTTTTTATTGGATGTTTTAATATCATTGTAATCTAGTTTTTTTTTATTATTTAACTGCATAATTACGAATTTTCTGACAAGCGAATTTTATTTGTGCGCAAAGCAATTCATATTCCATCGATTTTCAATCAATTTTATATCAAATTATAAATTACAAATTCATTATTATAATCATAATTAGCAATGAAAAGTATACTGTACATTATAAAAAAATATATTACTTTTATTACACCATTAGACAGGGCAATCATTCATAGACATTACAATAAAATTGAAAATCATTTAAGATGTCAATAGTTTGGCATACTATGTGAATAATTATGTAAATATGTGTAACTGATTTAGTTTCATTCATATAATGTAAGACACTTATATATAAAATGTTCTTTTTTATATATATATATAAAAAATAATATAAAATGAAAGAAAATCTGACTTATAATTACAGCACAATAACTTGAATAGTGTTTATAAATTTGTTATAAAAAATTGGAAAAATTTCTACTGCCTTACAGGAATGAAATTAATATTTTAAATAGTATTCATTTAAAATCAATATAAAAAAAGAAAAAGAAATATACATGTTGTTAGCTCTTATTTATTAGAAAATTAGTTAATTTTAATACCAAATAATATTGAATAATATTTAAATAGATTGTTCAAATACATTTTTTAGTAGTGTATTGAAATTTGATAATTAATTTATGTATTTAAAATTGGTATAAATACTATTTCATAATAAATATTCCGCAAATATTCCTTGCATTTTAATGAATTATATTAATTTGTTCAAGTGGTTGTTTATATTAATTATAAACATAATTTTACCTGTATATTTTCCCGTAGTCACTTTACCACTGTGGAATTCCAAATCTCTCAATTCGCTTCATTTGGGTATCTAATTCCATCTGAACCTTTTTTCTCATATAAAATATTGGGCAATCACGACTGAAAAAGAGAAACAAAAGGAATAAATTAAAAATTATTCCGGCTTCATATATTTTCACAGAAACATACCTTGTACATATTACTTCTTGATGAAGACTTCCTTGGCATCTCTGACACTCTGTCCATAATCTACAAAATTTTTCCTCCAATTTTCTTCCAAGATATAATTCAGTCTGATAAAATTCTGCCTCTTTCGGTTCACAGTAAGCACATAAAGCCATTTTTTCTCTTTCTGGGACTAACACAGCTTTACAACCTAAGCACACTTCTTTTTTACGCGTGAAAGCAGAAAGAGCGCCAACTCTTGATGTAGCAACGGATTTTGTACGAGTGTGATCTCCTTTCAAAAGAAGCGATTCAGCTTTTTCACCAAGAATTGGTTCAAAAATACGCACCAGAGGTTTAGATAATTGATTTTCTAAATAATAATTGGTATCTATAGGAACATTATTCTCTAATACATAAATTGGGTCTTCCGCTTTCTGATAAGCTGGCGTTCCTTTCGCCGCTTTTATGAAAACATATGGAACTCGATCACCTAATTTCGGTGCTGTTCCTGCATCTCGTTTTTTCATTTTTGCTGCTAATTCTACGTGTGCTTGTTTAGCCGTGTAGTCTGTTTTCGTTAACTCTTTTGTAACTACTAACTGTGATATGTCAATACGATTACAGAGCAAATCACTAATAATTTGTTTTGCGTAATTTAAAGCATCATTAGGATTTCTGTTGAAAAATAAATAATTTTGTTTGGTTAAAGTGAATAGTATTAGACATACGACAATTAATTACCTGTCGATAAGTAATTTTTGTAAGCAAGTATTCATCATGTTTGCTACTAATGGGCAATTATCTCTTCGGACAGTTTCAAGACCTTTGCAATCCATCTTATCGTATTTGTCCGGACGAGTAAAATAGAGACCAGCATATCGCTTTTTGTTAATTAATAAATATGGAAAGTATACCTTTTCAAATTCTAATTTTATCGGTTTAAGGAATTTTGAGGTCACATACTCCGCTGCCTCTTTTCCAAGTTCCATAGCTTCTTCTATTGTCTTCACCCCAAATTTAACCATGACAGAATCAGTATCACCGTATATAACTACAGCATCGTTTTTGTACCCTTTCAGAACACAAAATTGATCTTCTACTTCTTGTTTTGTTCGTTCTATCATCGTCCGTCCATACGCGGTAACGCTCTGAAAATGTTATTATAAGCAAAAATACTAATACTATAGAAATTAATATTAAAATCTTACAGCAGATATCTCTAAGCACGGTAATTTCCCCACTTGTGCGCCAGTAAAGCCATACACAGAATTAGCTGATACTTTCAAAGCATACTGTCTACCGTCTAAAACCTTCTGTTTTAATGGATCAGTCTCTTTTTTCAATTCAGCTTTTGCCACTTTTCTGGCCGTCAAAAGATTTTCCAAAATCTCTGGAAGAATTCCTTTTCTAACATTAGCTTTGATAAACATTGAGTTACTTGGAGTTCTAGTTACATTGTCAGGGTCGATTTTATATTTATGCTGTGACTCGTTATTTAACAACGTTGTATAGCATAAATTGTGTGCCATAATAATACTGGGATACAGGGAACTAAAATCCAAAGTTGCGATAGGGTCGTTATAATATCCTCGTTTTGGTTCTATGACTGTTGCACCTTCGTATTGTTCATCACCGCCTTGGCCTTGATGGCCTGGCATCAGATAGTCTCTATCTTTAATCTAAAATTATGTATTTATCATCATCTATACAAGTATTACATTTTTTACTATTATATACCTTTCTTAATAATTGCGACACGACTTTTATTTGCTGTCCACGCGTTAATAAACTGGCTATGGACACACCAGTGACTCTTGCCATTTCCATGTAAATGAAAATGCACATTAGTTTATCCAATAACCTGAGTGGTAAATACGCATCCTTTAAGCAATAAACAGCAAGCCTTCGACGCGTTTGTGGATTACCGTTTTGCAATTCCGTGATAATACTGTGGTGCACATCCTCTTTCTGCTCTTGTAAGAAATGATATGAAACTGCGTTCAAAGTATAAGATCTTAATTTGTAATCTCTAACTAGTACCTAATAGAAAAATGTAATCATAATTTGCTATCATGTGCATATGTTTGTAGAAGATCCTAACATTATTTTTACCAAATATAAATCGAATGGAACTCTTCCTTCGAAGTTGACGGATTTATTCTCACGTCGGCCCATCTGTTTACTTTGAATCACTTTTGTTTTAATTACAGATTTAATGTTTTTTATTCGCCCAAGAAAATTGAAATCTTTCACGTTGAGGTGTTGCGCTCGATTAATTAGATATGGGAAATCAAAATTGTTTATGTTGTATCCTGTAAAAATATCAGGATCTAACTGTCTCACGAAGTCAGCCCATTTCTAAGGAAAATAAAATATAATTTATAGTTATTAAGTTGTTTGTTATGAATTATAAACTCTTGAACTCATACCTCTAGCAACATCTGTTCTTTATCAAAGCTCAGAACCTGACTACCAACAATTGGTGCACATGTATCAAGAGTAAAAATATTTCTTAAAAATGGTTCAGGATCTCCTTGTTTTATTACCATGTTGGCAATTTGTATAACAGGATCGTGATTCGGTTCAGGGAAAATACCTGCATGTAGAAAAGCCTTATTAAAAGTTTATGAAATTTTTTAAGCTATTGGGAATAAGTAATTTCACCTTTTCTTCCAGCACATTCAATGTCAAAACTGAGTATCCTAAATGGTGCAATCTTTGACCATTCTCCTTCTGGTGAATGAGCAATAAAAGCATCCCATGCAACATCTGCTTCTATTTGACACCTTGTAATCATGGGTAAATTATGCCCATGATGGTTACGCAATTTCCAGCTTTTTGGCGGTAATTCGATCCACGAACATCCAACAACTGAAGTGTCAACCATAAATCTGAAACAAGCATGACCATGTATTAAAAGGATTTAATTGCAGAGACTAAATGATACAATTTTATTAAAATTTGTTAGGAATACCTTATATCAAAATCAATATTGCTCTCAAAAGTACGGTAGTTATGATCAAAGTCTGGCAAAATGGTTTCTTTTTCAAGTAATCTTTTACAAGGTGCTATTAACCTTGGTAGTGCCACTGTAATTTTTAAAAACAATGATTTTTCATTTCCTGTATAACCATACATGTTTTGTTTGTATACTCTTTCAACAGCTAAAACAGCTATTTGAACTTTCTCTGGATTAGACCTCATATCTTTTAATACAGCTTTATCTAAAGCGTCCTAAAAGGTATATTAAAAGAGATTAGTTAGACAATGTTTATTCAAATGGTATTAGTAATTTCCAGGTTCATGTACCTTGAACCGGCTACAATGGGCATCATTAAAATTATGTGGTGCTGTAGTATAAAAATAGGGACAAAATCCATGAACATGACAGCAAACAGAGTTTCCTTGTTCTGTAATCCCATACATTCTCATTATTGGTACAGGTGCTAGTTTACTGCCTGGCATTCCAGGTAATGGAGCACCTAAATAAATACAAAATAATAAATAAATTTCTCTTCCCTGTACTCTTCACTATGGTAATATTTACCATTATAATGATCAATTTCTATTTGTTGGAAAATCAAAGCATCTTTCTGTGGATTTAAATCTGGAGGTGGAGGTCTACTCCACCTTGAAGATGTGTTCTCTTGTTCTGGTCCCTAAAGAAAATAATTTAATTTATAGTAAGGAGTTAAAACATTTGTTAGTGCTATGTAGCATACAGAATAACATTTAAGACTAATAGGGCAACGTTAATTCAAGCCATGATTACAGTACAATAAATGAAATGATACAAAAGCATTAAACAACTTCTTTAAAAAATCATAAAATAAATCAATGATTATTTAATGAACTGCAAATGAAATTACTTCAATTTATATGTTGCATAAAGTAAAATAAATAAATTTCAGCAAATGAACACTGAGATGAATACACTTCTGATATGAGCTTTAACTCACTTTTTTTGGCATATCATTTAATTGTAGTACAGCTGGCTAAAATAATGTATTGTTTATTATTTCATGGAAAGTATTTTGCAACTTTTCTTTAATACATTTAACTGTATCTTAATGAGTTTCATTTTTTAAACCAATAATCATTGTATGTTAGAATTTTGATGAATTTAAATATCAACTGTAAATTGTTTGATAATAATTATATTGAAGTATACCTCTTCAATAAATTGAGACATATCACCAAAATCATCTTCCATTTCATCCATAGTAGCCAATTCGGCTTCAAATGAACCAGGTAAATCATCATCGTCCTCATCCCTGCTAATTAATGAAATATAATAAAGAATTAACTAATACTAAAAAAGGAAACATGAGTTTGTAAAATGAAATAAGGTTAAAATTAATATACTGCTTATATTTACCTATACTTAGTCTTTTTTGCAGCGGAAGGCGTTGAAAACTTTTTCCTATTCATCTTGCTTTATTCTGTTCGAATGATATAAACATTAAATACGAATAATAATTCAAATAACAAATAACACTCATACGATTGATTACCGCGCACTAAACGCGCGAAAATGTTTCAATATCTAGTTACTTTTATTCTAAAAATGTCAGGTAATCAGGTTGCGTAACTTTATGAGATATAAAGATCCAGAAATGTAGGGATAGAGATTTTGGGTTCTGAGGATATGGGGATTTGCCGCCTGGGAACCAACATGTCCATAAAACACATTTTCCCGCGTTTCACTGTACTGTGAATTATTTAAAAAAGTTTTGTTCTGTTTTACAATTGATTGTTTCTAAATAACAATCTTCATCTAGTCCAATTTGATAGCAGTAATCAGATAAAAGTATTCCTTAATAAAAAATGTATGTTATATTACAATACATTTGTTGTTTAGTACAGTGTTAATTTAGTGCAATTTTACATAACTTTGATATTCATAAACTTTATACGTGTTTTGTAAATAAAAATAGTTTTATTAAAAAAATGGCACAAAATGAAGCTTCTACAAAAATAATACAAAATGATACTACTGTACAAACTAATTCTGAAGGGTACGTATAATATTGTAAGAGATTTTTTTAATAATAATTACTAGTTAATGTAAGTAATGCATTATTTTTATTTCTATAATAATATTAGGAATAAAAACAAAAGGTACTTAGATTGGGATGAATATTTTATGGCAATTGCCTTTTTGGCTGCAAAACGTAGTAAAGATCCAAGGACTCAAGTTGGGGCTTGTATTGTAAATAGTGAAAAAAGAATTTTAGGTATTGGATACAATGGAATGCCTACTGGCTGTAGCGATGATGAATTTCCTTGGGGAAAGGATTATGATGATAAATTAAAAGATAAATCTTATTATGGTAAGAATATGTACTTAATTATAAACATAGATAGAAATTTAATTTGTAAAAGAAATATAAAATATTTATATTTGAATAATATAATTTAATTCAACGTTATAATATTATAATAATATTGTAAACTTACAGTATGTCATGCAGAAGTTAATGCTATTTTAAATAAGAACTGTAGTGACGTTCGAAATTGTACCATATATGTTGCTCTTTTCCCGTGCAATGAATGTGCTAAAGTAATAATACAATCTGGAATAAAATTAGTTATATATATGTCTGATAAACAAGCTCATAAAAAGAAAACCATAGCTGCAAAACGAATGTTTCAGGCTGCAGGTGTTCAATACAGGTATGTTAATTGTTTTAGTTACTTATACTTAATTTTATTGAAGTTTTGTAACTTTTGATATTTGTACTTTTCAAGTAATTTAAATTAACAAATTTTTTTATTAGACAATATATTCCAAGGAATCAAAAAATTGTAATTGATTTTTCTGAGATAAAAGGTACAAGTGACAAAGTTCAAGATCTCTCTAATTCAAAGACAGTTGATAACATATCTCAAAATTTTGAGAAGATAATTTTATGACAAGAATAATATAACAATAATAATGGTAATGTTTATAGTAAAAAATGTCCTTATGTATGTATTCATGATTTATTTAATTTTCTTTGTGACATTTTGTAAAGTCAGATTGTAACTAATATTAATTGTTTGGTAACGCATGAAAATATGGCTCATGGTATTATTGAGTATGTAGTATAACATTTTCACGTTGACTTATTTAGTCAAAAGAATAATTACTATTATTTACATATAAAATTGTATTAGAATTAGGTACAGATGGAAATGAAGAATACTTCCTTTTTAGTTGAAATTTTACATATTTCCTTATTTTCATGTTTAATATTAACCACGTATGCTTATGGAAAATAAATAAAATAATGTACAGAAAGCGAAAGAATTTAGCAATAATACAAAGACATTATCAAGTATTAAGGTAATATTGTTCGCAATGATATTGTGAACTATTTACTGTACAATACGATGAAGTATGGTATGATAGAAATATGTAACAATATTTACCGCTTTTTCAAAACGACCGAAGGAAGGGCGATTGTGGATACGCGATATCATTTTTTTATGTTGATTCGTTATTAATATAACAACAAAGATGAATTGGACATAGAGTTTTATATATATATATATATATACATATAGATATACACATATACTACATATATATGTATATATATAGATATATATGGTGATGATGTTAATACGTTCATGTACATACTATACATATTTCGCTTAAAATATTTTATTACGTTTGTAGCGTCAACTACAATAGAGCAAAGTTACAAATAGAAACTAATTGTATATAGTGATTGAATTCATCATATAGAATAGTACTGATGTTACTAACTATGAATAACTAATGTTATTGATCTTATATGAATACTTATAGATAATATTTTTATGTTAATACGCGAATTTGTTCAAAAATTTGTCTATTGTTAAATGAATCATTGTGAACATCTTTTTTATAATAAAAAAGAACTGTAAAGGGTATTCTAATAATTTCTTGTAAATGATGGTAACATTTACAAATGTAATCTTGAAATAAAAAATAACAATTTATATTTAACGAACATTAATTTGTTTATTTTTCAAATTTTTTTTAATGTCATAAACCTCCTTAACACATTGATTGCCACGCTAAAACTATTAAAGATCTCCATTAAGTAGTATTTTTATTTTTAATAAATCTTATCTAATATTTTCATAATATTTTATTATTCCTATTACTCATAATTTCAAGTACCTAACATGGGTGTTTCTAATTAGGCAAGTGAAAGAATTTCTAATAATATTAATGATTGACGTGGCAGTCAACGCGTTAAAACGATGACCATATATTATAAACCTATATGATGAATTCCTTTGCACGGAGGAGATGGGAAAGGATAGAAGTTCAGATACCCATGCTTACTATTTATTTGTAAGATTAAATAAAGGACCAAAAGACAAGTTTGAACTGAATCTTCTAGAAATAGAAACATTATCCTTACTCAGCATTATTTATTCGTTTTTTTAAGTTTTGATACTTATGAGAGAAATAGAAATTTGTATACTTAGGTAACAACCTTCGATAAAGATTGGAGCATCCAATATGCGTATCTTTTGAAAGATAAAGTAGCCTGCAGAAATAGCTGAATAAAATAATAACATTTTATTATTGTTATTAACAGCACACTTCGGTAGATGCATGGTCGGAAACTTGGTACAATGTGAATAATGTACGTTAAATATGTATTAGGAATGAATGCTATTTGCACGAGAAAGTGTGTATATCGATAAATAGGTATGATGATAACATTTCTTTTTCTTGCGCTGTATAATGGTCAAATGGCTAATATTACAGTGAATGAGCAGAACATTTACGTTACCGCTTACGTTACGATATTATTTGCATAGCCCTGAGAAACATTCCATGCATATACAGAAGGTATTTATCGAAACAATAACTGTATTTGTTATATTCTGATAGATTATTCCATCGATTGACTTTTAATTACATAGTAAATTTGTATCTGGTGTACTAATTTGCGAGTGAATGGAAACTTTAAATATTACATTGCCATTACTAATGCAAAAATCTTATTTTTATGATTACAAATTAAGTGGCCTTCCAATGAATTTTATTCAACGATGCCATAGTATCAATTGTAAATTATATTCTATTGACTTAAATAAGATACGAAATATGTGTACATACATGTATTGTTTAAAGTAATAGTTGAAATATATACAAACATTATCACTAATTTGTAGTGTCTGTATGATAATGCATTCTTTTACGGTTTCAAAAAAGTGTACAACTTCTATCATTATTTCCGAAAAAATAAACGAGGTAAGCATATAACATGGTTCAAGTTTTACCGGTAAATTGTAACGATACTTTTTATTAAAATTTTTGTGATCCGTTCACATACAGATGTATGATATTTGTTCTTTTTGCTATCGACACTCATTGTTTTCAATTTATCATATACTTTGGTAATTTGCGTATACAATACGCACTTTATTGTTCTTATCAGTAACTTTCACAAGGACTTTCGCAAATGGACACTACTTCGTTATTGACTATTCTCGATGGAATTATCAGGGCTCCAATCCAAACGCAGATCATTACCCTGGATTCGAACGCGGAAATAAAATTAGTGTTTCTAGAAGGAAAAATGTTATGATCGTATGTTCACTTCGTGTAAACGGTAGAGGTGTGCAGGATCCCGTGTTTTCAAGACCGGGACGGGAGGGAAAACTTCGAGCGAGATCGAGCGAATTTCGAGATCCTTGTTTAGAGGAGTGATGGGTAGATATCTAAGTAGCATTCTAACCATGTTATCATGAATTTGTATTCTGTATATCAATGAGACACATACAATTGGTTAATTATATATTTCTTAAAAACGGAGTTAGAATTTCTTCTTTACATGGACTTCACGCGAAGAAAATTTCAAATTTCAAATTTACAAATATAGAAATTTGATAAGTTAGGAACATAGAAACAAGAAATTTTCGAATTTAGAAATTAACCGAGATACGTAGAAACGAATGAGAATTCTAATCGTGCATTCGATGCAAAAGAACCAGAGTGCATCGAAGAGTACATTAGGGTATCATAGGGTTTTATCCAGTCTCGCCGTAAGTTTTCTATCCAGTCCCGAAGATCGGTTTTTCGGGACTCGGGACGATCTACACACCCCTAATAAACGGTTCGCGAATGGAGTGAACTAGAAGAGATAGTACATGACTCGGAACAAAGTCTATTCGAATGTAGCGACGAACATGCGCGGTACAATTATATATCGGTTGCTCGATGATCGTCTTAGTTTTCCAAACTCTACACAGTAGAGTGTTTAATGCGGACATCGCTGAAAATAGTACACTTTAACATCAAGTAGAAATATCCATAGAGCGCGCATATGAATGTATACAAGTCTTGTATTTTGTACCAATGTGTTAGTTTCGCACGTCATATATAATTTACACACTGTACTTTTCCCGTCCCGCTCCTCTCAACCGCCCTCCCTTGAACCTTGTAGCACTAAAAACATTTCACACTTCGTCGTTGATCATTCCGTTTCAGCGTTGTCGCTCCGCGGCCAGCAGAGTTAATTCTATCGGTTCCAATTGTTAATTAATATTAGCTAAGCCATTCTTTTCTTCGTTCACCTAAAATTCGGGACCATGTTAATCGGAGGCACTGTTCCCGCGCCCCTTCGTATGTATAATTTATTAAAGATTGTTTATCCAGCACTGTTCCAGCACTGTGTTTCCCTCTCGCACTACGTGAAACCTTCCAGGAACGGTTCGTGTACATATATAATACATGTGTGATAATCGTTAATTAAATCCGCCAATTTCGCTTTCCTTCACTCGTGTCTCCCCCGTGTGTGTTACATCGTACGTTTCCATTCGACGAATTTCAACGTGGATCCCCGTTAAATGCTCCACGCCCCTCCACGCCATTACCTCGTCTAACTACGTAGCAGTTCAGTGACGCTGGACAGCGCGTGCCTGGATCAGTTTTTGATGGAATTCTCTGTCTCCTGGTGATTGGTTGTCGGCTTCGTTTCCGGGGGTCGAAAGGCCGTCGCGTACGGGAAACGTTTATGGCATTTCGCCATGAAATCGGCTATCGCCGTATCGCAATCGCCGAAGTCACCGTTGCGCATCGATTCCAGCACCTTTGTACAATTCTCTAGCGTAACTCCTTCAAGGTTATCGATGTTCGTCACCAGAGAGAGGGCTGTCTCCTCGTGGACAGACGGCAAGTCCAGGAAATCAATGACCTTTGCAGCTTGCAGCAGATGCGGTAGCGAGTTTCGATTCCTCTTCAAAAATTCCGCGTTGAACTGGACGAGCGTCGAGACCATCGTGTTCGAAGTTGAGTAGATACCAGCCGTTTGCCGTTTCACCACCTCGTACACTACCTTCTCCAACCCTAAGTGGCTAATGTATAATATAAAATTTACTATACACGTGTGAAGATCGGGATGATTTGGGTCTAGCTTGTGGGCACGTTTGATCGACCTGAGCATCAGCAGCGCTTTACCTGCAACAAATGGTTTCTCGTTAAACAGGAAACGAACAAGTTTCACCATTTCCACAGTTACACAAATTTAAAAAATCTATATGTAATCATATTGTTGGTAACACCACTTTGACGTTGTTTCGCGAAGACAAAATGTGAAGCAATAATTCCTACGCACATTTACGATGATAAATTTCAAACGCCATGAGATGCGTCTCTATTCTGTCCGATGCCAGTTCTTGCAGAGGTTTTAAGAATTTGATTGCCTGCTCCAATGGATTCTCGACCTGGAAACGATTAATCGATTTCAACGAATGGTAGACCATTCAAAAAATGAGAGAATGAAATTTAATACAGAGAGAATTTTTAATACAGACCCTTTCCAGTTTCTCCGCTATAAGTTCATCTAATGTGGGTTGCTCTAAATCAGGATCAGTTTGTTGTCGAGACTTATTGTGCTGTTCCCTTTTCTCTTGTGCTTGAGCAGCCTGTTGTCGTTTCAGTTCAGCCTTTCTGCGTTGTTTTCTCTGCTTATTTCTTAATTTCTTCAACTCTGACGGCGCCAGGTTCTCTGTGAAAGAAAACGAAATCTCGTTAATATAATCGATACAAAGTCACTTAACAGCTACTTTAAAAATGGTAATTTCTCCGGACACTCGTTTGTGATACATTTTCCCAAATTTCTGAATGAGAAAGAAATCGAGGAACATCGGAAGAAAAAAAGAAATCGTGCAAATAAATTCCCCGCGATAATTTCAACGCTATTCACGGATTTACGAAGCATGGAACCAGTCTCTACCGCGTTCTAATAACGCATCGACTATTTCTTACATAATTGGAAAGCGCTCGTGATTTTAGTGTTATAAAACTGAATTAATAGAACGCTAATTAAAACGTTGATGCTCACTGAACAAGTTAAGTACCAGCAGAATTAACGCAATAAGCTGCTAACTTCATCCTCTTCGAAAAGCATTTCATGATTACGCTTCTAAATCATCCTGATCTACTGTTATCTAATAAGAGAATAACAATCCTTCCTTGAAACTATGTCATCATACAATGCTGTTGCTTCTATATTTCTGTTTTTAAAACAATACACGAGTGAGGTATCAGTTTCGGTACTTCAGAAAATATGGTACAATTATAAATAAATTAAAGAGGAATTCATAGAATTTTACATTTGTGTTTCCCTCTTCCGTTAGCTAAGATTGATCAATTCGATTAGGCTCGAATGCGATCGCGATACAATCAGGTTACAGTTTTTCCTTAGCTGTCTCACGTTAAAGTCGTGGCTGCACGTGACTAAGGTGCACGCGTGACACGTGCACGCATGCCAGACCTACTAACTGCTCAGTAGGCCTAACCACCAGCGGGTAGGCGGGGAAAAGTTAGAAAAGGTTTTGCGAAACCGGCGGAATTGCTTCTATCGTTGGTCTTGGTACACCGTTTGACCTTGCTCGACACACTGCATGCCGGTAAAAGTGCTCTGTGACGAAACGACATAGGACACTTTTAACGTTCCCGCATATACTGCAATTACAATGTTACCGTGCTTGAGTTCAACAATTTGCACTATTATACTCTTTTTCATCTATGAAGTTAAACTTTGAAGTGGACGTAAATTTGATGGTTCATCGCCATTTTCTTATATGACATAAGAAATTTTGACGCAAGAAAAATAGTGGAAGGTTAACGTAACTTCTTCTGAGATTTTTCTAGGATCCTTCTCTAAATTTTTTGTGGATCACTACATTAATTTACGAAGAGTCTATATTTTCTGTAGGTTCAGCCCTTCCCTTTTCAAATTTCTTCCCAGGCATTCATCTCTGTGGACTTCGCAAGAGACAGTAAATATCTAAGAATTTAATGGGCGTTTCGAAAAATGGCCAAAAATAGAGACGACCAGTTTTTGCAGCGAATCAAAGAGATATAATCGGCCGTTGTCGAACGGTGTAGATCGATTAGCATCGGAATGCAAGAGGTTGAAGTCTCGTTTCGTCGGGGGTTCAGCTTTCGCAAGGAGACGGTCGATACGATCGAATTTTCGAGGCGTTGCCCCGTTACGAGGAAACAGAATCGATTTTCACCGCGAATCAGCGCGGGTCAATGCGTATAATGACGCGTGCTCGCGCGCGTACGCGTTCACCTATTCGAGGGATGCAATTTGCATAAATGTTGCGTGCCGGTGCCGCCTGTTGCTCCACATTCCCGAGTGCACTCGTAATACGCGCAAGGTCCCCCTTTGTCAAGGATGAAAAATTCCTCGATAGTCGCATTCCGACCCCTAATTGGAAATAATATTTTAATACCATTACACTTTGTCTTCCAAATATGACGTTCTTGGATAACCAGTTTTATGTGTTTTGTATTATGTGCCGTGTTCGAGGTAAATGGACTGATCAGTTTGTTAAAATTGAAGTTACTATATTAAAAATAAATTGTGGGAAGTTCATGTGGAGATCTTCAGTGGACTTCAAAGAATGAATTGGTATGGTGCAAGTACCATTTTGTGGTACTTTTAGGTCATCAATTAGTGCTTCATGATTTAATTAGTGGTCCATAATCAACATAGATGAAGGCATAGATGGAGAGTTGAGTATTGCTATAGTTTGTGATCATTTAACTTTCAGGTTGATATACAAGTACTATTTTGTGGTACTTTAGGTCATCAATTAGGGTTTCATAGTCTAATGCAACATATATAGAGGCATAGATGGAGAGTTGATCATTGCTATAGTTTGTGATCATTCAACTTTCAGGTTGATACACTACAAGTACTATTTTGTGGTACTTTAGGTCATCAATTAGTGTTTCATAGTCTAATGCAACATATAAGGAGGCATAGATGGAGTGTTGTTCATTGCTGTGGCTTGTGATCATTTAACTTTTAGGTTGATACACTGCAAGTACTATTTTGTGGTACTTTAGGTCATCAATCAGTGTTTCATAGTCTAATGCAACATATATGGAGGCATAGATGGAGAGTTGATCATTGCTGTAGTTTGTGATCATTCAACTTTCAGGTTGATACACTACAAGTACCATTTTGTGGCATCTTTAGGTCATCAATTAATGTTCCACAGTCTACTGCAATATAAACAGTATATATAGAGAGTTGTTCATTGCTGTGGCTTGTGATTATTTAACTTTCATATTCATACACTACAAGTACCATTTTGTGGCATCTTTAGGTCATCAATTAATGTTCCACAGTCTACTGCAATATAAACAGTATATATAGAGAGTTGTTCATTGCTGTGGCTTGTGATTATTTAACTTTCATGTTCATACACTACAAGTACCATTTTGTGGCACCTTTAGGTCATCAATTAATCTTCCATAGTCTACTGCAATATAAATAGCATATATGGAAAGTTGTCCATTACTGTGGCTTGTGATCATTTAATTTTGAAGTTGATATACCACAAGTACCATTTTGTGGCACCTTTAGGTCATCAATTAATGTCCCACAGTCTACTGCAATATAAACAGCATATATAGAGAGTTGTTCATTGCTGTGGCTTGTGATTATTTAACTTTCATATTCATACACTACAAGTACCATTTTGTGGCACCTTTAGGTCATCAATTAATGTCCCACAGTCTACTGCAATATAAATAGCATATATGCAGAGTTGTTCATTGCTGTGGCTTGTGATTATTTAACTTTCATGTTCATACACTACAAGTGCCATTTGAAGTACTTTTGATGTGACTCATAACATGAAATGTTTGATATGTAACAATTTAACAAATCATAGAAAGGAAAGGTTCATCAGCACCGATTTGAAGAATGTTTTATTTCTGCTGTTATAACGAGAGTATAGAAGTCCAGATTTCCCAGGAGAGTTAGGTAAGAAGCTCCAACTGGTGCAAACGACGGTGGGCGGCGAGGTCGCCACATAAAAAAATGCAGTGTTGCTTACATCGCGATCATTAGAATGAAGCAAAAAGAAAAACGAGTAAGCAATGACAGGCTTTTATCTTCGCAAGAGTACGCAGAAGAAACAGCCGTAATTTCGATTTAGCTAAGCACTCTGCCATAAACGCGCGCCCACGATCATCTTAAACGCGTTTCCTTTTCTTCTCCGCGCGTTTCCTAGCGTGCCGAGAAAAACAGCGAAGATTAATAATCATGGTTTTTCTAACGAAAAACGACGCCACATAATAATTACGTACCTATTATTGAATCGATGGGTGACTGTACGCTTAGCAGTGAGAACCAAGATCGGTGGAATGAAATTTCTCGAATTGCACAATGTTTTAGAAAAAAAACACACGTTCCCGCACACTTTCAACGATGATACTCGGAAACGCAATGACAACAGCACCAGAGACTTTAATAGATGATGCAGGAACTGTCGATTACACGAACGTCAACCGTGATTACGAGCGTGTACCGACATACAATGTTCTAGCATCGAAATGACGGTAATCACGAGAGAAGGCTGCGTCGCCGTGATCGTTCTTGCAACGCCGCTCGCCCCCGGTGGTCTCTGTTCTATTTCCTAATCGCCATTCTTCTTTTTCAAATTTATGTGTTCACTAGTGGTCCAATTCTATTAATATTTATTTATTATATGGATACATTGTCTATTATTATTGATTTTAGTAGTTCTGGTTGTGATTAAAAATCAAGTAAAGCTGTTTTGTTACTATCACACTACAACAACTATAATAAGTCACACTACAATATTTGTTAGTAGAATAGTTATGCAAACAATCGTGTAAGAAGTTGAAGTCACACATTGACTTTGCAGTGAAACCTAAATATTTCACAGAATACAAGTTGTAACTAGGATAAGGAAAAAGAAACTGTTTTATAAGACCACGCTCTCTTAATCAAGCCACAAACACCGATTGGCAAAAACGTTCCAATTTTTATTCTCGATAAAAAGATAACCTTCCAGCGATCGTAACGAGTACGGAAGAGACGAAAGGTTAAATACCGTCATACCCACACGTTCCACATAAAAAAGGGATACCAAACCCACCGATATGAAATATGGAAAAAGTCGATCGCGATGCACGCGCGGCGATAATAATTGTGACAATGTTCGTCGTATCACGGTAGGTCATTGTATGCAGATCGAAGAACACGAGCGGTATTCGCCGGTTGTAACTCATAAATTACATATTCGAAGAGTATCGTGACCGTAATGGCGTGTAGCGTACGGGAAGGCCGGCGCGCCGTTGACAAACGTTATTGTCAGAAGTGGACGACAACAATCGGACACGTCGAATCTCGAGATATAATTCTATTCTTCGAGAAAGTTTCGATCGATTGTTCTTGGATCGGTGAAGAAAATCGTGATTCATCAATCGATTGGCAACACGACCGTTCGATTTCCTGCCTTTTTCTACGCTCGGATCCGACACACTTCGAACCGTAATATCGCAGTATAATCGCGTTAAATGATTTGTAACGCGAATTCATCACTGAGCGCGAGGTTACTCGAACTTCAGACTTCATGAAGATTTAGATATTTATTATATAGGAAACACATATGAGCCGTTCAGTGCACACATTGATTAACTCCATTTTTTGAAACATCTTAAATTTAAGTGTTA